TGCTCTAAAGATAGAGCAACAGGGTGAGAATAAGTGGGTGTTAATAATTGGTACGGTACGCTAGTGCTTCAAGTATGTTAACAGCTTTAGAAGAAACATTGCATTGATAGAAACTGTTTTTACCTCAAAGCTTCACTTGGGTCAAAGTTCTTCCAGATGATGACAATGTTTAAAAGCTAAGTGGATTTCTGAAAACCCAGAGAGAGCATGCTTTCTTCTGTGTGTATAAGATGTGTTGAAAATATCATCACTTCTGTGTGTTTTTGCTCACCCTCTAGTAAATCAAGTGCTATTTGTATGCAACCTTTCTTCTGCTGTTGAAGTATGTGCACACATAGGTACACACAAGGTGTTAAGTTCCCTTACTTGCCTATTTTCCATTGAAGTGTCATGCTTGTCATGTTATAGCAAGTGTGTAGGAAGACTGGTGCTTGCTGTTGATAGTAAGTACGTTGTTCCTGCTTCCTCTGTTCTAGTTAGATCACTTCTCTCTGAAGTTTTACTTCAAATGATGCATGAAAGAAAATATGTATTCTATATAGAAAAGCAATTTGAATATACCACAGTTGAGATAGCTCTGTTCAGCAAGTTTTTGTTTGATTATGCAGGCACTTTTGTGATGATGCTTTAGTACTTTTTTAGTGTTGAAGTATAAATTTTGTTGTTGGTTTTTTGTTTTTTTTTTTCATTTACCTGAGCATAACTGTACACTTTGCAGGCCAAAATGACCAGTTTCAAACAAAACTTCTACAGGAGAGTAGTAGGATTTACCTATTTCTTGCTGACGTTGGCTCATCTATAGAATTTAACTCCCCTTATCGCCAACAGCTAATCCAAAGGTTAAGCAAAAGTCATGTTTAAAAATAAGTAAACAGATAAAATACCCAGACCTTTCCATCCTGCCTTTTAAGCATCTTTGGCCTGGAGTGTTTTTCATATTACTGTCAGATGCAGCTGTCTGTTCCAGCAGATCATGCTCAGTCACTGCCAAAAGGTTGTTGCTGTGCACTTGATTCCATGAACTCCCTTCCCTCTCTGAAAATAAGATAAGTCAATTTTTGTATGAATATTGCTTTTATTTGTAATATTTGATTGAGCAGAGAGTCAACATAAGAAGCTGAGAAACCTTAGTTTACTCCCATAGCTATATTTGAGCCTGAAGAAGCTCACTCCCTGATAATACTGAAGCTGTCATGCTTATAATTCTTACAGTGAGTTGTGTTGTCTATAGGTGTTGTGTAATGTAGCATTTTAATTATTTGTTAATGTAGATACGTTTTAATCAACAGTTCAAATAATGAAGTAACTAATTATACAAATCTCTTTTCCTTTTGCTAAGTATAGGTATTAAAATGCCAGAAAGGTTTTCATTAGCTAATTGTTGAGTATTGGTGGACCTTAAGTGTGCTGGTTTTTTAAGGAGCATTTTCAGATTTGAAAATACTGCATCCATGCAAATGTCTTGAGAGATCATTTCAGAGCTTTATCCTCCAAAGTATATGCATCTTTTTGTAGCTGTCAGCGAGCTGGCAGGCGATTACCAACTATTTCTGTGGGTCTGGCTTTCAGTACACTTATTATTACAGGCCATTAGCTTGGGAACGGAGGAGCTAACATTTATTTCCCAACCCCAAAGCATCCTAAAAGTGCATATTGTTTTTTGTTTCCGTTGATACAGTTCTTTGGTCAACTTTTCATCTGTATCATTTGTTCTGTAAAAGCTGGCCTTGTATTTATTGAAGTTATGAAATAATACCAAGCATTTAGAATTCATTTCTATTCTTACATCTAGCAGCTGTTTTTGTACACTATAGATTTGTTTACTTGCTGTTGTATACAATCTGATAGCAGCTGTTGGTTATATCTTAATAGCATCCCCGTTTTTATTGTTTACACACATCGAGGAATGAGCTCCAGTTCTGTGATACTGTAAAGCTTGCACTATTGTAATTTATAAGGCTTAATTTGATCAATATATGCACAAGTAATGAGGTATTATTTCTTAAATCTTGTTAATCTATACCGATTTTAAAGCATTCCATGCATTATTCTTAACTTCTGAAGTGCTAACAAACTTCTAGTATTTTTACTTGTTTACAGCTGACTGTGGGTTGTGTTTTTTTGTTTGTTTGTTTTTTCAAGCACTTAGAAATGATCTTTTTATCAAAAGGTCTTGGAGCATTGTTTCAACCTTTTGGTCCTTGAGAGATTTTTTTTTTTTCCTCATTTAGGAATACCCAAACTTTTACTTGGCCAGAGTAAGGGTATTTCGTAAAATACTTTGTTTTCTTGCTACAAAAACTCTAGGAAGCCCTGTTACGAAAGAAATGCTGTCAAGTGGCTTTCATCCTGCCTTTATCACTGATGTTCAGTAACCATTCAAAACTTACAGGGTCAGGTAAGAGCTTTCTTAATAGAGCAGTGACATTATTTCTGGTTAGCCTTTAATATGTTTGCTGAAAGCTCCAATGCATCTCTCACCTGATTTTGGTTTGTTTTCTTTTGGTTTGGTTTGTGGTTCTATCATACTTTCAGAAAGGATTTTTTTTTTTTCTTCATTTTACTTCTTTAAGTTTAGTTTAATCAACTGAGTCTGCTGATGGATCCACTGAGCAGTTGTTCAGAAGTGTTTGGATTGAGAATGCAGCATGCAAAGTACTTTTCCAATAGCAATATTTGGAAAGATTTGTATGTGAATGGTGCTCTATGCTCATTGTTGCATATGTGTGTGTGCTTTAACTAGTACAAATTGTATTCAAAAGCTATTGCAGCTTAAGTGAATACTTCAACATAACCAAATAATACTGGAAGACAGAAGAATAGGCAATGCTTGAGTGCTTGGCATATGAAGTACTTGGCTCTTCAGACCTAGAAAACTGTACCTTCACTTCCATGATAATTAGGTGTGCCATTTCCTTTTCTAGCTCAGTCTTTCAGGTACAGATACTGAAAAATACTGCATGTCAGTTATCATTCAGAAGGAGTGTTCAGATAGCTAAAATTAGGCAGGTTCTTCAGTCCTTGCAGGATAGGAATATTGGATTCCTTAATATTTTATTAGTAGAAAATATTTTAAATCTTTATAATGCAAAATATTTATGTCTGAACACCCTTGAGGTTTTTTTTTTTTTTTTTTTTTTTTTGTTGGCTTCTCAATTTTAAGTACTCGTTGGAAAACTGACTTTCATTTGAGGAATCAGAGAAAAGGAAAATCATTGTGGTGACTGAGGGGAAAGCGAATTGCAAACTCTAATACCAGATTGCATTAAAACTGTACTAAAAATAATAGTAATGTCATGTTCTCCATTTTTAGTGCTGTCACTCTTTTTTTTTTTTTCTTTTTTTTTTTTTTTTTAACTTACTGTAAGCATTCCAAAGGAAATAGATGAAAATGTCCTGATTCATCACTAGTTCTTAATGATGGGTGAAATACTATGAACCACCTTGCAACACTGAACACTGTTAATAGTGTTCAGAACCTGGTTTATTTCACATTATCTCTGAAGTAAACACATTCATTCACACATTCATTTACAAATGCTAGTTGCAGCATTGTCAGGTATTGTGAACTCTACCTTTGGAGTTTGTAGTATCAAGAGGAAGTTTTCTTATCTATTCTTAATAGTGTTGAGGAGTTGACCAAAACCTGAGGTTTGTCTTCATGCTTTCCTGTCTTCATTGCCTGTTTATAACTATGTGCATACCTCTGTATGTATATATATATTATATACACACATACATCATTCAGTATATATGTTCATATTTGTTTCTGCAATAAGTTTATTTCCTGCAAACCAACGCTGTTAATGGAGTCTTTGTTTCTGTGGATCAAAGATACGTCTGCCTGGTTCTTGAAGATTTTATTTTGTTTAAACTCCTTTTTACTATGCAGTTGCCTCTAGCAAATGAAAATCCAAACAACCTAGAAATGTGATGACTAAAGAATTTGAATAATGATGTCTGTATTGCGTAAAATGTTCTAAAGTCAGATACGTCCACAAAGTCATTAGTAGTTTCTAGGATGTTCTTGTTTATAACTGCTACTAGGAATCATCTGTTTTCCTGCAAAAAAAATGCAATCTGTTTCATGTCATTGTTTTGCTTTAAATCACTTCTACTTCCTGAAGAGAATCTGCTACTATTTGTTAAGCCTTGTAAGAGCCAAGTATTTTAATATCTAAACTGTTTTATTTTCATATTGTAGGTTTTGACTTTTGCCTATAAGCATGCGCTGGCCAACAAAATGTATGGGAGAGGGCTCAAGTTCGCAACAAAACTTGCAGAAGAAAAGCCAACAAAAGACAACCTGAAAAACTGCATTCAGGTAAAGGTTGTTTAGTAAAATGTGGTCTGTATTAATTCTGAGTAAATGTTTAACCACAGGAGGCGTAATCTTTGTTATATTTTACATTGTAGAACTCAAAATGTTAACCTTATTCAAGCTTTTGATGTTTGGTCCCATTTTTTTGGTCCCAGTTTCCTCTTTCATTTTTTGTAGAGTATTTACCAAAACTCTTCTGCATATTTAAATCATTATTTGAGTGTTTATCCTGTTATCGTTACTGTTAGTAATCACAAATAGTACCAGTATAACATAGGCAGAGAATTAATGGGAATTACTGTACCTCCTATGAAATTTAATCACATCAAATATTCGTATGTTTAATTGAAAGGCTGTAGATCACCTAGCCTTTCAGATCCAAATAAGCTCAAGTTCTCCAGACTTATCTTTCTGATTACAGATATCCTCAGTGAGTAGTTAATGTCAGTGCAATGTGTGTTGGAAGGACTTAAATTGAAGAATATGACCCATGAGCGTCTCACTTTTTTTTTGTTTGCTTTCTTCCTTCAGCTAATGAAGTTATTGGGATGGACTCACTGTGCAACTTTCTCTGAAAACTGGCTTCCTGTTATGTATCCCCCTGATTATTGTGTATTCTAGAAATCTGGAAATTGTAAACCTAACGTAATTCTATAAGGGCAGGATATGAAAAGATAAGTTTGATTTTTTTTTATAGGAACGCATGTTTTCATTACTGAATGTCGATCATTAAATTGTGTGTATTTATCAGTAAAGGCACCTGGGTACAGCTTAATACCTGCTAACCTGACTCCAGTCATCAGGGAGTTACCTTATTGTGCATCCCATTGCTGGCAATGGACGTGCCAGAACTGCTAACAGAAAAGAGTTGGAATTAGGCTGATATAGCTTACTGCATGCATGTTAGTTTCTTAACTGTTAATTTTAACTGCAAACCTGTAAAAGCTCTGTATTTTTTACGGTAAAGTGACTTTTAACACGTTTGATCTTAATTTCATTTTCAATTGTATGAAGGCCTTAAAGCTACTTCAGGAGTAGCTAAAATCTTATTTATTAGACAAAAGTAATGGGACATAATTATCCATATTGTTTGCAAGAGTTTACATTTGTGGTTTTGTTCTTTGGTTTTGGTTTTTTGTTTTTTTCTGTTTTTGTTTTTTTTTTTTGTTTTTTAAAGAAAAATTCAACCTCTGAAACTGTTAATACATGCAGCTCAGAATTGCTGATGCATAGGTGCTCCTGTAAATCTTCATTTTGGAGTGATTTCAGGCAAACTCAAAAATCCATGTGAACCTGAGTATCAGGACAGGCTGATACGTGTATAAAGTGCCAGACAGTTAAATCTTGACCAGGTATTGTAAAGCTATACATATATGTTTAATAATGTTAAAAATGTAAAACACAACAGAATAAATGTGCAAAACTGACGATCAAAAGAACACCATGTGCACTCTGATACTTTAAGAGATTATTTTATAGGTAATAAAAACAAATAAAGCTAAAAATATTGGTTCATCCAGGAGTATGTAAATGAAATTTGCTGAAAGAGAACACCTTCCAAACAGCAGAAGTTTAGTGCAGCCTAGAAGATCAATGCTTTCTGTTAATGTCTCCCTGCTATCTGACTACTTAGTGACATTGTTCCTCCAGTGGAGGGAAATTGGTCTGTTCGAATAGGTTGTAAGCATGAACCCAAGACAAATGAGCTATATTGCTTGTCTTGCCAGATTTCTTGTAACAAAACATGCAGAGTTCAGCTACAGCTACAACTTCACAGATGTAAACGCACAGAGGGCGTACCATAATTGCACATCACATTCCAAACTGCAAGGTGCAGGGGTGAAATGAAAATTAGTAGTAGTTTTTTTTTCTTCAGTTCTCTCTTACCGTGGCTTTAAGCAACTTGACGTTTGATTCTGGAAATTCTGCTAGGATGGATGTATCGAATATATTGCAAAGTTGTTCCAAAAATTCATAGTCTGTACTGAATCTGAATTTATTTGCCCATAATAATACTGTCCCTGGCTGGCAGAAGTGTACCATTGTTGCTAGCAGGGCATCCAGAGCAGTATGATGGTATACAACATCACTTGCCAGTATAAAATCATAATGGTAAGTTGATAAAGGGAAGTCTTCATTGAGGTCTTCTCCCCACACCAGTTTTCTCACTTCAGGTTTGTGCGTATTCATGTTGTGTGTATTTCTTGAAATATTAAATGAGAGATTTTCAAGAACTTCAGGCAAATCAGTAGCTGTAACATAAGCTCCTAAAGAATACATAGATTTGTTTTAATTCAGAGGTATGTAGTTAAACCTAAAGATATAAACTTTTGATATTACTTCCCCTGCTTCCCCCTCAGCAATAACTAGAATCTTTATTAACATCAGTGTTCAACTTGCTTTCATTTTTTTAAAAAAGCAGTGACGAATGTATTAATTTCAGCTGTTGCTTCATTGCTTTCAAGTGGCAGTCACAGATCTAGATTGTGTTTCATAAGAAATCTGAAAGGAAATAGTTTACTGACCTAAGATGGAAGCCACGATGGAAACCAAGCCTGTTCCAGCACCAATTTCTAAAACTTTCTTGTCTTTGAGGTTGAATCGTTCTTGATTTGATTCCAGATACTGAGACAAAGCCAGTGCCTGAAATAATTACCACGTATTCATAAGATGGTATCAATTAAGTTGCACAAAAATTAATTTGATGTTTTTATACTGTATTTTTTTATACAGTGGAAAACACTGATGGCTGTAACATAAACATAATATGGAAAGAAACACTGTGTCCTGTTCTTTATGTCAAACAATCCGATTAAACTAGTTTATTGTTAATTTTAGGTCTTGTGAGATAATGAATTTGCAGCAGACGTGTACCTTTTGTGATTCCTCTCACAGCTCAAGATAGGTAGCGTCCAAATGGGAACCATTCTATTGATGAATAACATAAACAGATGCCAAAGAAATTAACTGCCCTTTTGTTTGTCTTCTTAAGAGTGGTGTGTTAGGGTTTTAACTCCTGTGCTTCCTCATAATGCATCGCTGTCTACCTGCTGTGGGCAGGCTGACAACTCATGAATCACCAGCCCAATTTGCACAACCTCGCGCTTTTCTTGGAAAGTTTTACCATCTGCATTCTGACACCTGATTAATTTGAGAACTGATGTTCTGACGTTCCAGATTCAGATACAGTTTCATTTATCCATACACTTTATTTTTTATTTTTTTTTTTCCCCCTTTTTTGGTCAGACGTTGTTGGTGAGCTTTTCCAATAAAAGTAGATCTGAAAAATTCTGAAGCACCCTTTCTTCCTCCAGAGTCTACAAGAAGTTCTTTTTTTGCAGCAGAAGGAATGAAGATGGGAAAAGACCTGTTTGCACTGCGCTGGAATAGTTCCAGGCTGTTCTTTCAAAGAAACATTTTCATTATTTTAAAGTACCTTCTTTAATCTTTCACAATTTTCTTCTTTAGTCTCCTTTTTGTAATGCTTGATTGCTTCCATTTTCTAAAATGAGCAGCTGACCATGTGGAGGAAGCAACAATTTTTCCAATTTTTTCCAAACAACTTTTTTTCCTCCCTATCTTCATCCAATTGACCAATTGGAAGGTATTTTTTTTTTTTTTTCTTACCTCTGTAAGTGGAAATAATTTACTATCTACATGCTACTTACATGCCCCATTTCTTATGGTGCAAACTACTAAATCAGTGTAAGGCAGAGCTTTCTGCTCTAGTATTTCACAGCTTAGTTCCTCACCAGAAATAGTAATTAACTAAAAAAAATACTAGCTTGAGGTTTGTCTGCCATTGTCGTTTCTGATTTATCAGTCACGTCAACTCCCTGGATGCCATATTGAGTACTTACCCCAGGCCACACCACTGCTCCAAAGTGTTCTATAGATTCCTGGATGACAATGTGCTGGCCTGCATAAGTGTAATGCTCTTTGTCAAAGTAGTGGGAAACTGTGGGAGCCCAGTTCTGCAATATTTTAAGAATTACTGGTGAATCTGTGAGAGAGAAGATGAAAGGGGTATTACATATGCATGGATTAACGCACAGCTTTTTAAAGTATGAGAAGGACTTTGTGAATATTGTACATGAGCACATGCACTGGAAAAGCTGTCAGGTGATGGGGTTTAAGACCATCTGCTCTCCAGCTGTGGGCAGTCTGGCTGCTGGAGGAGCAGAAGCAGTGTTTTTAACAGGCTACCCAGTAGAACCTATGGATCCCCATCCCTGGAGGCATTCAGGCCAGGTTGGATGGGGCCCTGGGCAGCCTGAGCTGGTGGGAGCAGTCCTGGCAGGAGGCTGGAACTGAACAAGCTTTTAAGACCTTTCTGTGATTGAGTGTTTACGTGGCACTTTACAGATACCAAAATATAAAATACAGAGAAGTTGCCTTCTGCAGCTCATGTTATGCTTGAGATTTAAGTGCTTTTCCTTGTTGTTGTTGTTTTTTTTTTTTTCCTACTGACTCTTGAAATCAGATAGCAAATAGTTTCTTTTTAGCATCTTTTTAGATAGTAATATACTTAATGAACTTAACATGCCTGCTAGAAGATGGCCAGCAGATACAGAATGCTAAGCTTTGCGTTTCAAAGAGAAGAGTACCCGCCATTTCTGTTTTACCTGTTACACTGCCACTCACTAAAAGAGCTGGGTTTCTTGAATTCTTACAAAAAGAGGGTTCTGAAACACTTTTTCAGTGTATTTTGAAACGCTGCTGTTGAGCAAGTGTCAGTGCCACTGTAGTGTAGTACTAACGTGTCTCATCATAGCATGTAGGCTGGGAGGGTTGATGTTCAGGATAGCTCAGCTTAACTGCTCCAACCAATCTCACTGAAATCAGGGCACTTAATGACTGTGCAGCCATTGGCCTTGTGGCAGGATATGCATAGATGATACAACATTCAACTGCAAAGGACAATTTTGCTCTGGCTTGCATGGATTTTGATCAATGCCTGCCTGCAGTTCTTGATAGATGCTCAAGCAAAGCGGTTTAGCTTGTGTTAAAATTTGTAATATCACAGCTTCAGCAGCGCCAGCCCAACCAATACATGTTATAATCAGCTCTCTGGCAGTGCTTGAAAATTATTTCTCTGGTGTCTAAATAAAATCCAGGGGCTTTTTACAATATGCACGTCAATTATGGAGTTAGAATAATTTTCCTAGATTTGGTCCAAAAATAAACTACAACAGAGGGAAAAAAAATGGGGAGAGTAGAGCTCAAGAAGAGAAGTGACAGATTGACGTTCACTATCCAAAGACAGAAAAATGAAGTGATGAAATACCAGCAGGACACAGCAATTGCAGTATTATAAAGGATTATACCGGGGTTGGATTCTGCTGTTGATGAGCAGTTGGAGCTGCAAGTGCAGTTCTCAGACTCACACGGCTCTTCACAGGCTTCTCCTTCCGCTGTTTGGCAGTCTGTTGCTTTTTGCATTGTGTTGGGAAATGACAGCTGCTGTGCCAAGATTGTGGAACTGAAATAGAAATACATACATATATATAGAAAGTTGAGGGAAATTCGTTTGTACAAGATGATTGGAGAGCCGGCTGTGGGATCTCCCCATCCTGCTCTGGCTCTGCCCAGGCTCATATGACTGGGTTGGGTGGCCTCACGCTGATGGAGGTTTTTTTAAGCACCTCCTTTGATCCGTGAGGGAGAAGCTTGGCAGTGCCTGCAGGTAGTTTTTAAGGGCAGAATGACTGCTGATGTGTGGAGGTGGTTTATTTGCACTCACGATGCTGACACCATTGCAGTTCTGCTGCTTAATATATTCCTTATTACTCCCTTTATTCACAGGCACAAGACTCGTGTGCTGACTCCTGTAGCATGGTGTTTGTTCACAGCTATGGCAAGTGATTCTATTTTATTTTTTACCAGTTCAAAAGGGAGAATGCTAAGTAATTGGAATTCTGCAGATTTTGTTTTGTATTTTTCCTCCTCAGAGGGCCTCTATCTGGCAGGTAACGAGTTCTGGCTGCACAACTTTCGTATATAATTCAAAATACAATAGAGGCATAGGAGATTGAATATGGAAGGTAATGCTGGAGCTACAGCAGCCAGTTCAGTTTCGATAGTACACTGCCTGTTCTCAGCAATGGCTCCCATTCCAGCTCCAGATATGAAAAAAAAAATAAAATCAAGTTCTTACTGTGGCAGTTCAGGCTTACAGTTGGCCACGTGGCTACCACAGATCAGATTTGACGCAGCTTAGTAAATGTGTATTTGCTGCTCTACTGTTAAGCACTTGTAATAAATAACTCCTCTGATATCATTCAGTACAGACACGTTGAATTCTAAACTAAAGGAGAGATGTTCTGTTGCGCTTAAAAATCGTTATGCTTTCTTCTCTTTTTTTCTTTGAGATCCTCTGTGTAATGCTATAATGGAATGATAATGGCAGAGTAGTAAAGTCTTTGGCTACAACAAACGGGAGCAAGGCCAAACACAGCAGCCACAGATACAGAAAAGAAAAAAAAGAGCTGCTTACCTTTGGAAGATCTCAGATAGGCAGAGATTTCCAGCAAGTAATGCTCTCTCTTCCCCTGCCAACCCTTAAATGAGGTCTGGGAAGAGGTGGATCCTGGATCCACCCCATCCAGTCACACAGGTGCACTGCATGCAGCTGAGCAGTTTGTCCCTGCCTTCCTGCCAGGTGCTCAATCACTCGTTCAGGCCATCACTTACCATTTCCACTATGCTCTGGAATAGGAGTCAACTTAAATATTCATAAAGGTGCTTTGCTGTTTTTATTAAAGCCCTTCTTAAAAGGATCAAGAGATCTGAAAAATAACCGTGGGTTACACTGATGGGCCTGGTCTGGCCCTGAAGTCCCTCAGGTGCCCAAGTTCTCAGATGTCAGTCTGGGAGAAGAGGTTATGCACTCTGCATTTATTCATAGTGATAGATACATCATGCCGGGCTTCTGGATGCCACAGTAACATCATTCATATCTTTTTGTAGGCGTTGCTTTTGCATAATAGGAAGTTATTGTTTCATACATCCTAATGCCACAGCTATTAGTCATTCATAAAGTGAAGGGTTTTTTTTTGTTTTGTTTTTTGTTGTTTTGCTTTTGCTACAAGCTACATTTAGTCTGGATTCAAATATATTAATGTATGAACAGCTTTCATTTATTACTGTAAATGACCGACTCTACTTGAGGGCTGTGGGCAGAGGTCACTACTGGGTGCTCTTGTTGCACGTGGGCAGTATCTGCATCATCACGTGCAGGATGCTCAAGTTGCTGCTGTCTTACTAGAATGGACACTTCATACAGTTTTCTGATCCACATTTCCCTGAAAGTGATACATCCCTTATAAACATTTAATCTGGGGAAGACAGTATGGCAAGCAAAATCTGTTCCCTTAGAAACTGCTGGCTCTTTGTGGTGGTTAGCAGCTCATGTATTGGCAAAGTGGTTCTGAAGGGAATCATCACCTAAATTCTGTGGTTTCCAAAGAGTTTAAACTCATGGGGGCTACACTAACAGTCTTTGACTTTGTTGCCAAAAAAATAAGTTGCAACACCACGTTTGATTTCTTCGGAACTTTAAGAAGATGGAATAAGTCACAAAATTGTATCTATCTGACAGGGTAATAAAATGCTTAAGACTAAATTGTAAGATGGTAATAAACCTTACGGGAATGCTTTAAAAAGCCATAGAATCACTCAGGTTGGAAAAGACCTTAAAGATCATTGAGTCCAACCACAACCTACCCATACTACTAACAAGCCACCGCTAAATCATGTCCCTGAGCACCACATCCAAACATCCAGGGATGGTGACTCAATCACCTCCCTGGGGAGCCAATTCCAGTGCTTAACAACCCTTTCTGTAAAGAAGTTTCTCCTGATATCCAACCTAAACTTACCCTGGCACAACTTAAGGCCATTTCCCCTTGTCCTACCACCATTGAGAAGAGACCCTGCTCTCGCTGTCACCACCTTTTAGATACTGGAAGAGAGCAAAAAGGTCTCTCCTCAGCCTCCTTTTAGCTTTTTCAGCTTTAGCTTTATTCAGCTTTTAGCTTTTATCCCCTCTAATAAATTTTCTGCCTCAACTTCTGAAATTCATTGCTTGGAAAGGGCTTTTGGATCTGACCGCATGGCCCGAAATAAAAAAAAGTAGGTTACTGAGCAGTAGTACTGTGTGACTCGGTCCTCAGCAGTGAGCACAGCTCTGCTGAGAGGCTTCTCTGTTTTCTTGGCACAAGGTCACACTACGTTGCTGGTTGTAGTCAGAATTAACAGGCGAAAGCCACTTCCATCTGCTCGAAGGAGAAGCGCAGTTGCACTGCAGTGTGAGTTAGGACCGGCCATGCACTCAATGTTTCTGAGCACTCGTGCAAAGTTCAATACACTGCCTAATATGCACGTGTGTCTGTATGCATATATATGCCTAGAGCATTGCTGTACACCCTTATGATATTTGAGCCCATAAGGTACATGCATCCAAATGCAAAAAACCAACATGTTAGGTGTGCGTGGGCAGAGCAGGCAAGGAGTGCAGAGCTGAGTTCGTTAGTCAGCAGGAAGCATCCACGTCAGTGTTAGGGTCAGGGCAGTGGAGCAGTGCCGTTACCTGTTGTGGTGCAAGGCGCTGGAAGGCTCCCGCAGGCTGATGCCCCCTCCAGAGGTTTTTATACCGCCGCGCACCTGGAAGCAGCCGCGCTGCCCGCCAGGGCTGGTGGGCTATTTACAGCAACATGACCAGGCAGCGTGCGAAGGGCTCGCTGCCCCATGCTCAGATCTTTTCCACTTGCGGCATGAAACAAAAATGCTCCTGAACCTCATAGTCCCGAGTGCTGCTGCCTCACAAGCAGAACTGTGGGGCTTTTCCAGCCTCTCATTTGCCAGGCTGGCTGAGCCCCGTCAGGATCTGCAGTCCTGACCCAAGGGAGCAGCTGCGTGCGAGAGGCACAGCCCGAGTGTGGAGGAAAATGAGGGGTCGGAAGCGGCTCCGAGGGAAGGTCAGGGCCCCGCGGACTCCCTGCAGCCGGGATCAGCAGCGATTTGCACGGGCAGTGCCTGCTAGCAGCGATGGGAACTTCACTCCCTCAGGGAGCTCTTGTTGCTCTGCAGCACTAACGGGAATTATAGATGTCAGACATACACCAGATGTGCGTTGCTTGCACACATCAAGAATCAAGCAGTTGTGTGCATTTTCCATGGCTGCCTTTCTGCCTCCTGTCCCCCATTTCTCCCCGAAAGGATTTTTAAGGAAAAAAAAAATTGGAGTAAAAAAAGTTTGAAAGGAGCTGTGAAAGCCGAAGGGCTGGCAGGCAGCTGCAGGATGAAGTGAGAGAGGAGGGCAGCAGTGCATATTCGGCTCAGCATGCAAGGATGTGCACCTTTCGGGGGAACAGACTGTGAATTCAGGTCTCATTCTCCAGAGCAGAGACATGAGATGAGCCTTTCGGGGCTGTGCATTTCCCACCTCGGCCACGGGAAGGCTCCAGCAGTTGCATCGAGTGTAGGAGACGCCTGGATGCTTGCACCAAGTCACCCTGATCTCCTTTCTCTGGAATATTGAAAAGAACATATCTATTGATTTATTTATGGATCCAAGGGGCAGATCATTAACTTAACTATGTCTTAAAAACTGTGCCTCATCCTTGTGCACTACACAGCCCCCCTCCATTTCCCCTCACTGTGAAAATAGGTGGCCCTGAGCTAGGTCAGGAGCTGACAGCAGAAAAAAGAAGGCAGAGATGTCCAACTCACTGTTGAAGTGACTGTTGTCTCTGTTGAGAGGGTTTTGTTGTTTTTTTGTGACATGATCTTTCAAGCAGGCATGTTCCTGGCTCTCATATCAATGTTTTGCCTCCGCAGATGGACGTAGCTCAGACCAGTCCTGCTGCCAGTGCTCTGCCTTCAGCTTTGGTGCTGGGATTAGTGCTGAGCACAGGCACTGCACTTTTCAAATCAAATCGAAGGAAAAGGCTCGCTCCTTGTTCTGTCTTGTGAGGGCAGTTGAAAAGCAGCTTCAGGATCAATGGTATAGCATGGTTAGAAATAATTTAGGTGTGGCTTCACTTCTTGCCTGTAAGTTATGCAGGTAGCAACACTAGCTGCTTGAAATACAAGTGCTGTTCAAACATACTTTACAGATAATTTCTACAAATGCTTCATGTGCCACAGTCTTTCTCCAAGCACTTTTTGTTTAATGCTGCAAATGAGCTTCATCTGGGAGTGCAGCACCATGGCATTAAAATTTCTGCGGGCTTGAGTGGGCAGAGGGCATTCCACCACTTCAGGCCTTGTGATATAGAATCAGGCTTTCTATGATATTGAATCACAGAATGATTTGGGTTGCAAGGGGCCTTAGGCCACCCAGCCCCAACCCCGTGCCATGGGCAGGGCTGCCCCCCACCAACTTAGCTGCCCAGGGCCCTATCCAACCTGGCCTCGAGTGCCTTCAGGGATTGGGCACCAAAGCTTCTCTGGGCAGCTGTGCCAGCGCCTTACCGCCGTCACAAGTTTCTTCCTGACATCTAGCCTATATCTCCCTTCTCTGAATTTAAAACCATTCCTCCTTGTCCTATCACTATCAGGTTGTGTGAAAACTTGGTCCTCTTCCTGCACATGAGCTCTCTTTAGGTGCTGGAATGCCACAATGGGGTCTCCCTGGAGCCTTCTCCAGTCTGAACAAGCCCAGCCCTCATTCTGTCTCTGTAGGACAGGAGCTGCAGCCTACTGGTCATCTTCATGGCCCTCCTCTGGACTCAGTCCAACAGCTCTGCATCCCTCCTGTGCTGAGATCCCCATGCCTGGGTGCAGTACTTCAGATGGATCTTAAATGGGCAGAGTGGAGGGGGAGAAGTGTGGCTTAAGGTTTGTTTGCTTGTTTTAGTTCTGTTTATGTGAATCCCTGCTGGTTGTGTGGGTCTCTTCCCTTTGCTGTGCTTTCAGACCTCCAGCAATGTAGGCAGAGTTTCCTTCTACTTATCAATGAGATTGGTCACAAACTGCCCGGACATTGCAGGGATGTTACCAGCTGCCACCTGGAGCAGGGCTTGGCACTGAGGAGCAGCAGTGCTAGTGGGAGCTGATGAATGATAAGGCTTCTTGTGGAAAGGGAAAAGGGTATAAAATGTCATAGAATCATAGAATGGTTTGGGTTGGAAGGGACATTTAAGACCCCTTACTTTCAATCCCCTGCTATAGGCAGGGACACCTCCCACTAGACCAGGTTGCTCAAAGCTCCATCCAGCCTGGCCTTGAATGCTTCCAGGGAGGGGGCATGCCTCTCTGGGCAACATGTTCCAGTGTCTCACCATTCTCACAGTAAAGAATTTCTTCTTAATAATATCCTCTGAAAGGGCCATCAACCTTGTAGTTTAGCATCCTGTATTTAATATCACGCCTGTGAATTTTCACAAGCTTTTGCAAAGGTACATGCTAAAGATCCTTCAAGAAATCGAGCTTTGATAGGATGAGAAGAGAGTTATCTCCTGGTTTGATAATTTGTTAACAATGAGGAAGCAGTAAGTTGGCAGGTACGCAGAACATCACAGGGAGCAGTGCTGCTGAGAGTACCCAAGAGATGTGTGAAGGAGATGGCATGGTGATGATGTAATGTAATTATTTAGGATAGTGAAATTAAAAGTAAGCTGAAGAATTGCAAAGGGATCTCTGATACATTGTGAGAGGTGCGAAAATGATAAATCAGGCTCTGTGCTGACAGGTACAGCATAATGCATACAGATGGGCTCAAGCTTGGTGTCACTTAGGAAAGAGATATTAGTGGGACTGGCAACTGCCATGCTGCTTTCCAAAGTGTATCAGTAGTCAGAAAGAGAAGGGAGCTGTTGGGTTCTTATAAGGAGGGAAAAAAAAAAGATAAAGAAAAGAATATTGGGAAAAAAAAACAAAAAACAAAAACAAAAAAAAACCACCATCATTGCAATACCACTGTAGGAATCCAGAGTTTTGCTCCCTTTGAGGGTTTGCTGGAGGTCCTTCATAGAATTATAGAATGGCCTGGGTTGAAAAGGACTACAAATGATCATCTCGTTTTGACTCCCTGCTGTGTGCAGGGTTGCCAATCAGCAGACCAGGCTGCCCAGAGCCACATCCAGCCTGGCCTTGAATGCCTCCAGGGATGGGGCATCCACAACCTCCTTGGGAATTGGTTCCAGTGCGTCACCACCCTCTGTGTGAAGAACTTCCTCTTAATATCTAACCTAAACCTCCCCTGTCTCAGTTTAAGACCATTCCCCCTTGTTCTATCACTATCCACCCTCATAAACAGCCATTCCCCCTCCTGTTCATATGCTCCCTTCAAGAACTGGAAGACCACAATGCGGTCTCTCCAGAACCTTCTGTTCTCCCAGCTATGCTGGGCAATGGCTGAATTATTGAAGAAGAACAGCAGACACCATCCCAAAAACAGATTCTCATCTTTATACTGTAGGCACCTGCTGAATTCTTCCGGACCTGGGAAGCATGTCTTCATTCTCCAAATTGCAGGGACTCCTTAGCTGCTGACAAGCAGCCAACTGCCAGGCAAAGCTCGCTCCAGGTTAACATCCTCAGAAGGCTGCTCTGCCCATTCCCATGGCGGTGGGATGAGCCCCCAGCACCCAGCTGTACCAGCGGCCTTCCACATCAGCGACAGCCAAAGGAGCAGCATGGAGGGAATCCGTAAAGTAACCCCAGTATTTTTATGTTTTTAAAATGGAAAAAACCCTTATCCTTGACACAGGCCTTCCATTGAGCACCTCATTGAGGAGGGTGCCTTCCTTAGTGACAAGGGTATGACTTCTTCAAAGGCTGTTGATATTTTGACACCAGCTTCTGTAAGTCTCTTTTATCATGGCAAAGGCCCATTAAATGCGTCACAGCAGTTTAATTTGGTAGAACACTCAGGTTAAGGAGTTGGCTGGAGAGGGAAGGTGGTCGTGAGTATGTGGGGAGGGAGGTCAAACACCTGGTACAGCTGAGTGTGAAGACTGCAGTCGGCTGTATGAAGTTTCTGGTGAACCAGATCATGCATGTTTGTATTAGCACTATTGACAGCAGAGAAAAGAAAGATGCCTGTGGGGCTTGTTGCAGCTGATGATGTCCTATTTACTATGTAAAGCCACGTACTCGTGCTTCTCTCAGCAATGAGTTATGGTGATTTCTCCAGTTCTTGCCTAGGCAATTTTACAAGACTTGAAGCTGTGTGCCCCTGGGGGGTTGTTTCAGTTTGCGCTTCTTCACTGATCTCAGTCCTCCACCACTCTCCCTCTGTATTGGGGTGGCCCTGTCCCTCACAGGTCATCTTTCTCACCTAGGGCCACCTTCTTCTCGTTGTTTGTTCGTCTCTTTGTCTGAAGATACACTGCTCCCTGGGCAGGAAGTCACTGGAGCTGAACTGTCTGTTGCAGTTTTTAAATGAAGAGTTCTACCCCTTCACCAAGGAGCTCTCAGCCCTGCTGCAGGCAGAGTACTGTCTTACTTTCTTGGTCCCCTCTGCCATTCCTCAGCTGGTATCTCAGAAGAAGACTCAATGCCATCTGCTATTTTTTCCTTATGGCAAGGGAAGAGATCATGAACTAATTCCATAGAGCTTTTTATAGAACGAAGATTGCGATGGTCTTAATTTACCGAACTGGAAGTTTTACAGCAGGGCTGATTTATTTGATCTGTTTGGGGCTGGTTACTATATACACAGATGAAGAACCAAATAGAGCTGGTTACGTTAAGGGTAAACACACCATTCACAACACTATAAACTTTGGCCAACTGCAGCCAACACCACATGGAGATGAAGCTGGCAGGGCATTTTAACAATCTTTGTTTGACATGGGACGCACGGTTATATTCTGTTGTAATAGTATTTGCCTGGGATTAAATTAAACAAGTCCTTATTCAGGAGAAGCTACTGAAGTCAGGAAGTTTTGCTGTGGTAAGAGCTGATGGAATTGCTTGTTAGTGG